TATATTATTTGTTATATTTTTATTATTCATTATTTTCACTTGACTCGCATAAATAATTTTGTTCGAAGAACATTTTATGCAGTTGTACTTCGCAGCACTTCACTTGCAATTTGCAATTTCTAGTTTATTATATATTTATTTCCACCAACAGTGAAGAATCACCATTTATCGGTAAAAAAAGTGTAAAATACAGTATATAAATATATAAATCTATACAAATATATTGAATTAAAAATATAATACAATAAAAAGCAGAGGCTACACAGGACATGCAAGCAAAGGAAAAACAACACCCGGAAGAAACAGCATTATAACAAAAAATAAAAGTACAACTGCAAAGCTAATAATGTTCAACAGTCAACAGTCATAGTAGAAAAATGCTATTTTTATATAATTGTTGTGTTAATATTGGGTTTAACCAAACCAGGGAGTTGTTATATACTGTATAAAATGATTGTAGTAAGTAAACTATCCTGCCCGGTCTTTATTTACCTTATGACTGGTGAGCTGCAATGCATAAAAAATTGCCTTGCCCAAGGACATAAACAAGTGGTTAGATTCGAAACCCCGACCTCTTAATTGGAAGCTCAGAGCCTTTCCACTATACAACAATGCTTTTGTCTGTATGATATACAAAACGTATTCCAAATGATTTATGATTATAGTTATAATATTGTTTATGATTAATTAAAGGAATAATAATAATAGCATTTTATTTTCATTGCACTTATGCAATGCTACAAAAGGGAAAATTAATGATAGTAATGAAAAAAAGATGAATGATCACATTTATTACACCAGTATTATCGATAATACAATTTAGAATAAATGTTATTGTTTGTAAGCTGTAATGTAATAAACAGTTGTTCATAAAATCCCCTGTTTGCTATTGTAACTGCCTGTTGCATAGCTGTTATCCATTCTGGCTGATAGAGACCAGAAATTTGAAAGCATACAAACAACTGTTAATACAACTGGTACATCGCAAATACAAACCAAACGGAATTATGTAAATGAGAAACAGAGAGAAGAGAAGAAAAAAAATGTTTGCATATTGGATCAGAATTCTTTATGAATCATTTGGGCTGTGGAACGACCTTTTCGGTATTCAATTCCATTAATTGTTGATTATTACTCGCTTATGAGGAAGTTCAGGACACTTTTTTGTTTAATCTTCCATCAAATATGTATAATTCCGTAATCCTGTATTGTAGTGATGAATATGGAGACGACCAAACAGCTTAAATTGACATAATAATATTTGAACTCGTTTTTATAGACACAATTTGCTGTACTGTAAATGCAGGTGAATTTTGAGTGCTGTTTATGTGTCTATATGTAGCACGGTGTTCCATAACAAAAGCGTAAGTGATGACGTCCACTTACGCTAATGAAGTCCAGAGGAGTGGATGAAATATTTGTGTTAAATAAATTATGTTCCAAAAATATGGCGACTTTTGTATTTATCACTGTCATTGCCTTCACTACTATATGTATGTATATTATATATATATATA